TCTTCGCTACTCACGTTAGATGCTTACCTACTGGAGTAGGAAGCGATTCCAACTAGGCTACACACGATTCTTCTTCTTTTAAAAGGCTTGGACTACGGGGCTGAGCTAAGTAACGTGTCCGAAGGCTTGGATGATAGGAGGAAGAAGAACCCACCCCGGGATCCATGGAAGGGCGGTCTTGGGGTACAGACAGAGCGAGTAGGCGGCCATGAAACCAAAGGGAGGAGTGTCGGCCGTTTGTAGTTAGGCTAAGGCGACCGGTATGCGGAAGGGCAACCAGTCTAGGAGTCGAGGGAAAGGTCCTACTTTGTCTAAGAGGATGAGAGAGGGTTTGGGATGTGCGGATAGACCGACTTGAAAGGGGCACCAACAAAGTGTATGGCATGAATGGCCAAACCAAGGCGAGGGGTCCAGTCCGGTTGGTCACCACGGGGATGCAGCCCAAAGAGGGGTAAGGCACCTTCAACCTAGGGAAGCATTGCAAGCACTTCCTTGGGAAGCACATCCGGCCTGTAGAAGTGGTAGCCGCTTCTGCTCTTGTTGAGGTGGTGGAATCCCTTACCATAACAAAAGATGGCCAAGGTTACTGATTCCTTAGTCACCCCGCAGACACATCTGGACCACATGAAGCTCTGTTCATGGGGTGTGTCTGAGTCCTTAGAGGAGCTAGATGGTGAGACCTGCTAGCTGCCTGGGTGACCAAGTGAAGGGTTCCAAGGATTTGGTAGACGACAATGTAGGTGGCCGTGGGACTCGCAAACATTGTTCTACCTAAGACTACAATAGTCGCAATTGTATGATAAGTCTGCACATTGGGACTGTGCGCAGCGGCTAAGGCGATCTGTAGTATCTAGCTTAGCCAATACGAAAGCATTAGTGTGTCAGGACTATTAACAAATGTAGTCGGTGCGTCCTCCTATGGGGGAAGGCAGCTAAGGACAATATTCTAGCTGCCGAAAAGTCCTAACCTTCATGTTAGGTACCACTTCAGGGTTGCAATGTTCCTA